CAAGAGTCTCAGAGTGGCTTACAATCTCCTTCCCTTCCTCTCCCCACAACAGACACCCTGTGAGGTAGCTGGGGCTGAGAGAACAGCTCTGAGAGAGCTGTGACTGGCCCAAGGTCACCCAGCTGGCTTCGTGTGGAGGAGTGGGGAATCAAACCCGGTCCTCCCAGATTAGAGTCCGCCGCTCTTAACCACTCCACCAAACTGGCGGTGTTAAAACTGAAGTAATATGAGCTGACCGTGATTTTTCCAGTCAGCAGCCCTGGCAGCTGCATTCTGAACCCCTTGTAGCTTCCAAACGTTTTCAGGGGTAGCTCTATAGAAAGCGAACTGCAGTAGTCCAGTCTGGAAGTGAGCGTTGCATAGGTCAATGTGGCAAGGACTGACTCAAAGAAACAGGGCAAATGTTGCCTCAGCGCGGGGACAAGGAGGTAGAGAGCAGTGTCAGAGGAGGGACCACCATGCGTCCAAATATACCTGTGGGTTCTTGAAAGATCTACTCCAGTGATGTAGAAAAATTGAAAAAAATAAAGGGCCTGTTCCACTGGTACCTCCTCAAACCTCAGCATTTGATAATACATGGAGTGAGTGTGACACAGCCCCCACACACCAGATGCGCCACTGAATTCCCCCTTCCCCATGCTGCTGAGGGGGAGAGGTTGACCCTCCTACCTTCTCTCGTTTACCTCAGGATCAATGTTCCCTCTAAGCTGTGGAGTCTTGTGAGCAAAAATTCTACTCTGTGAGCTACTGGCATTAAAGTTGTGAGCGAGCAATTTGGCTACTGAATAAATCAGTTTGCTCTGGAGCCCTCCTTCCTGAGCCAAGATGAAAATGTGTGAGCCGGAGGCTAAAAAACTGTGAGCTAGCTCACACTAACTCAGCTTAGAGGGAACACTGCTCAGGGTGCAGCAGGCATTTTGGAGGCCCACGCCCCTACCTTTTTTTCTTGTTCCTCGTTCTTCTAGAGGGCCGATGTCCGAGTTTGAACCCTGAAATGTGATTTCTGGTGTGTGTTTTTTCTCTCTTGAAGGGGCTGTACTGCATTTCCGTCAACTGCATGGACAATGCGGAAGCACAGTTCACCACAGCGCTGCGGGTAAGGCCCGGTTTCGAACGGAGGTTCAGGAGGGTGGTACAGAACCCGCCTGGTTCTGCATAGGGATTCTTTGGGAGGGGTGTCTTTTTTTCAAAAGAAGAAAACTTCGAAGTTTTGGATGCAGCGAGGCAGCCGTGAGTTGCAAAAGGCCCCCCCCCCCAACCTGGCCTTTCTTG